AGTATTCCATTGTATATGTCGTATTTGGCATTCAATTCCCTTGTTTCGAGTATCAGAAATATCACTGCTTCAATCAGGTAGTATTTGAATATGTTGCTATTAAATGGTTCACTAGTCTCAAATATCAGTGATGTGATCTCGTTGAGTGTATTGATACAGTCCTTTTCTGCCAGAACAATCAGTAGCCCGACCAAACCAACAAACTTGACATCAAGGCTGTTCTTTATCTTACACTCCACCTGATCTCTTTTGTCTTCAATTCTTCTGATATTTTGTATTTCAGTATATTTTTGGAGCATATTCGAATCAATCAGTCTCTCAAACAGTTCCAGCTTCACCTCATCATCCCTGAATAATCGTACAATTTTACCAGAATACTGGTCTAATGCTCTTCTACTTGATCTACTTGCTATATTTCTTAGATCAAGCCACACTCCCAGTTTCTCTTCCACATCCAATTCAGATGAAATCAGTTTTCTATGTGCCTGTTGAATGTAAAATGTCCCTATTTTCTTCTTTACGTAAAATTCATCCGTCTTATCCTTACATCCTTGTTCTTCTGATACTGATATACTGTTATCTACTATCTCAGCGTATTCTTTCATGTTCTTTGCTCTAAATCTATCTTCTTTATAGATCAAACACGACAGTATTTTTCCATATGAAACCATTTTATCATTCTCATTCATCAACATCAGTCTGATGATTCCAAATGCCTTTGAGTGTCTTTCCGCATCTAAATCTGACTGCTTTACTACTATCACAACCTTCTTAAACCACAATTCAACACTTTTGCTATCAATCAAGAAGTATTCATCGAGCAAATCAACCAATTTTGAGTCGTAGGACATTATGGGGCTTAAACAATTTCTCATCCCATAAACAGCTCATAAATTATGTAAAGGCAGTTTAGAAAGAGAAGTGGAAACTCAACAACGGTTCTGACTCCAACTATCATCTCAACGAGTCTTCTTCTGATCGGAGAAAGAGTGGCACGATGCTCCTTATCAAGTGGTAATCTCAGGCATGTCAGGACCCTTCTATTGTCCAGAATGACTACGGCATCCAGAAAGAGCACCACTGCGTATAAAATTGAGAAAACCCCAAACATGGGCGTGTAAAAGAATTCAGCAAAAACAACCTCAGAAAGTGACTTGAATTTTTTGTTGCTTCTACTTGAAGAACTTGCTTATTCTTACAAGAAATTGCTTGAATTTGCTCTTGTTTTCCTCCCGCTTGATTTGTACAGGTTCAGACTCCTTCTCCTTCTTGAATCCAGAAAGAAGCTTATTCAATTCACCTTCTTTCTTTATGCTTGTTTGCTTTTGTTTTTCACNCTTCTATTGTCCAGAATGACTACGGCATCCAGAAAGAGCACCACTGCGTATAAAATTGAGAAAACCCCAAACATGGGCGTGTAAAAGAATTCAGCAAAAACAACCTCAGAAAGTGACTTGAATTTTTTGTTGCTTCTACTTGAAGAACTTGCTTATTCTTACAAGAAATTGCTTGAATTTGCTCTTGTTTTCCTCCCGCTTGATTTGTACAGGTTCAGACTCCTTCTCCTTCTTGAATCCAGAAAGAAGCTTATTCAATTCACCTTCTTTCTTTATGCTTGTTTGCTTTTGTTTTTCACCTGCATTTTGATTCTTGTTGAGTTCTTCTGCTTTGGCTGAATTCTTGGACTTCTGCTTCGTTGGCTCCTCCTTCGTGCATTCTTCCAGCTTCTTCTTCTCCTGTGAAGCCTTCTTCAAACTGTGCCTGTTTTTTGGTGCCATATTGGGGCTTAATTACAAAATACGTAGAAAGAAATATACAGAATTTATAAAGTAATTACTCAGTCCGTTCAGTAATGTTGTCATTATCTAGTTTTCTCTTCTTCTTACGGTCAAGAAGGGCGTATCTTTGGGCCATTTTGTCCAAAAGAAGCCAATCGTAATTCGCGTTGTATCTGATCGCATCATCCCTCATTTCCTCGTCTGATAATCTCTTAAAGTAGTTGTTGTAATAGCTCTTTATATCGTGGGTGTGTTTGTTCAATACGCGATACGATATTGCGTCGTTTATGCAACCAGAATTTATGATTTTGATTCCTTCTGGCGTATACATGATCCAGTCCTTCTTGAATACGTCAAACAAATACTGGAAGACGCCTCTCTCGTCAAATGACCAGGTTTCTCCAATTATTTTGTTATTGTAGTAGAAGTAGTACAGCCGTAAGTCTTCTTCTGTCTTCAACTCCTGAAAAGTGTGGTTGAAATAGTTTTCTATCTTTCTCCCATGCTTCCTGTAGCAGGCAGCAAAGAGCTCTTTGTCTTCCGGACACCATTCGCGAACTGCTACGATCTCGCACAATGCGTCTGTTATCCTATGCGTAAAGTGATTTGTGTAGTAGAGCAAAATGACCTGTTGAATTGGCATCTCCAGGTAGTTGGATATCTTCACCAGATCGTCCTCGAACTTGTACACGGCGTATTCGAATTCCCCTCTGTCGTAATCGTCGTCTATTTTGAAGTATTCGTATTCTCGTATCTTGTTAAGCTTAATTTGTGTAATTTTGGCCGTCTCGTCTTTTCCAATGGCTGCTGCCTCAACCACCACTCTTTCTGGGCTATTTTCAGCCAATCTGTACGTCTTCTGTCCCAAATCTCCCGCTTCATTTCTACCGCATCTGTCTCGTAGGGCTTTCGACTTGTCTAGGACGTATTTCTTGGTTATGTCCCTATTTGAGTAGTTTGCGAGCAATTTGAGCTTTTTCAAGTAGTAAACGTATCGATTGTCCTCGTATGGACTTCCAGTCGCCCTGGTGGTGCTCTTTTCGCTCATATCCTCCTTCGGGGCCTCTCTGCCCCGCAGCATATCTATTGATCTGAAATGTTTGATGATCACAGCGAGCTTCTTTTTCTCTATTGCCAACAACTTCTCTGATTCGCTCTGCTGTTCCATTTTTGGGGCTGTCAACTCATCAAAAATTTTCAACTTGCATTTTTCTGCCTCTTTTTCGCTTGTTTCAATCGCCCTGTTTTTGACCAATGCGAAGTTCTCGATGTCCTTCAACTCAATTTTCACGCTGCTTACGTCTCTGCTTCTGCAACCTTTGCTGTACAAATTAATTTGGTACGGCCTCCTGCTTCGACCACTTTTCTTGTAGAGTTCATACGCCTTTGATCCAATAATGGCTGCCTTTGCTGCGTCAACCTCCTCTTTAATTCTCTCGAACTTCTTCTTTGAATTCTTGGACATACGGGGTTCCCAAACCAAATAAAAGAATTTTGCCATTGCATGTTTTATTCACTCACTTCGTGAACTGCCTCTTCCACTCCTCAATTCGCTCTTCCACCTTCACAGCCACCATTTTAACAAAATTCACCTGGTTTTGCTTCAGCTTCCTCAGCCTCGTTTCCGCCTTCTTTTCCACCCCACTCATCTCACTTTTCAGTCTTTCTCTCTCTTCAGCCTGTTTTATGATCATCTCATTCACCTGTGACTTGTGGTCTCTCTTCATGGTCTCAATCTCAGTCTGATACCTGCTTTCAATCTTGTACAACTCGTTGTGAATGAATTGGTAGATTTTGCTTCTCAATTTCACTGAATTAAATTGGGCATTTTTAAGGGCATTGAAGAGAGCAGGGATGTTCTCAATTTCCTCGTCTTCCTTCTTATACTCATTTGTATAGACTCTGTCCTGTTTAGTCTGTAAAATACTCTTAGTTCTGTACACATCACTCATATCAATACTCTTCTCTTCCTCATACTTGTTCAAATCCAATCCAGTCAGAATATCCTTATTTATCAGGTCTATCTGCTGATACAGTCCATTTAGTGATACTTCATCATTCAATACGTAGATGTTGTCTTCCTTCTTAACATTTTCCTCTATCTTATCCAGGTCGTACGACACCTTCAAATGGCCTTGTTCATTTTGTTTGTTCCTGATCTCATGCACATTATTTCCCTCCAAATTTCCATTCAAAGTTTTCTTCACCAACTCATCGAGTGATCTCTCCTTCTCCTGCCTGACCTGGCTGTTCTTCCGCTCTTCAAAGGCCCTCTTCTTCCCTTGCAACGGCTCCGTGAATATTTCAGCGAGGTTGTTTTCATCTGTGACCATTCTATGGCCTAAATTATTTCCTGCTTCTTCTTCCACTCTTTTTCACCTTCTTCACAACCTTCTTATACGTGCACATCCCCAGTTTGATTCTATTTCTGTTCTTATCCACCACTGGTCCACTCTTCTCAAATCTCACCACCGTAAAGCACTTGTTCTTTTCCACCACTTTCTTCATTTTAAATCCGTATTTCTCCACTTCCTTCGTAAACTGCCACGTCTCCTTCATTCTACTCACAACTTCTGCAACAATGAACAATCCACCTCTTTTCAGAATTCTATTGATCTCCTTGACAACATCAGTAATATCACCCATCATCAGACTCAAGCAGCAGACTGCTACATCATATGTCTCATCTGGAACTCCAATACTCGACATATCTGCTCTAATCACTCTTTCATCTACCGGATACTTGTCATAGAAGTCCATTTTGATGTTTTCCAGTGTTTGATATTTTGATGGATCTCCACAGCCAAGTTCAGCCACTTTGATTTCTTTGCTCTTTGAAGCCACCTTCAGGTCATCACAGACAACTTTGAATGGATCAACTGGCCACTTCTTGATCTGTTCACTGTACAATTCGTGGTATTTCTTAACTTGTTCCGGTGTAAGTTCCTCATTTCTGTACATTTTTTCATTTAGAATTCTAAACTGGCCTCCAATCAATCTTCTCGTAAGTTGTTTCTGGAAGTCATTCGTTTCTTCTGGATTCTCTTTAGCCATATCCACATTTACGTCCGTAGTTGCTTCTTTAGTCATTTCTTTAGCCATTGTGGGATCAAAATATTTTACTCTTTATCTGTTTATGTATTTACATCAGGTGAAATCCACAACACTCAAAGACAGAAGTCATCAGCTTCTGTTTCATCACGTCCTTACTGTCATACATCCCAACATACAGTATATCAGAACATGTTGAAGCAGAAATGAGAATGTTCCTTCTTTTGATCTGTTCTACGCATAAAGTGTCTTTGATGTACGATCCACCTACAGCAAACTGCACAAATGCGATCAATTCGTCCTCACTTAACTCCCCTATGATTTTAGTTAGCCAACCCTTTTCCTGCTCTCTAACCCTAAAGAATTCAAGCATCCTCAGAACTTCGTTGTTGTAGACCTCTCTTTTCATGAAATAATAGAACAGGTGTCTACATTCTACTCTTTTGACAAGTAGAGAGTGTAAATTGCACCATTCTTTTCCTTGACAGTCGTAGCACCTGAATTTGTTCGTTACATGCATAAATCCAAATCGAATTGCATCGTATTCAGCACAATCAAAGTATTCCACAATAACTTCATCCTTATTCAACTCCTGTTCAATGTTTCTTCTTAACATCCCGTCTTGTAACGTCTTCTCCGAGTACCTTCGACCCAACAGATTTTCATAGAATCCAAGTGTCCAATTCACGTGCAATGGCTCCCCGTAAACCAGTGATAGACCCATAAACAGCCCAATGAACACCAGAAACTTCTCTTTCTCACTTCCACTCTTCCTAATTTCATCCAACATTGAACCACTTGTATTCTGGTCATACCAATACAGAAATACCTCCTCTTCATTCCTCCTAATATCACACATTACTCCATTTATCCATTCCAAGTGCCCTGACTCCCTTATTTCTTCATTTATGCTATAAAACCAGTCTCTTTTCACACCCTTATTGTCCTGACCAATCTCTCCACTAAATTCCAATCTAAATGATCCAAAATCCACCGTATCCCCCAAAAACAACTTCATCGAATCATCCAACATTCTCCTCCTTCTTATTTCGTGTCTCTCTACTCTCTTTCCTGTACTTTTACAAACCAAGTTCCTCAGCAATACCTCCACATCACCCCTGTAGTTCATTCGATCCAGTTCCATGCTCTCATCAACCTCCACTCCAAATACATTCCCCATTCTTTCGTAGTTGTCTTCCACCATTCTATATTCAAATTCAACTTCTTCGTATTCTGCCTCAGAACACCCCAAATTCATTTCAGGCCCATTGTCTATTTTCACGATCAAAACAGCCCCCACCAAATTCAGAGTTAAACAGGCCACTTTATCGTCTCGTAGTATCACAACACTCCTTCTTTCACCATCATCCTCAATCCTCACCACCACTTTCTGTGTCATTTTCTCTTTAAAGTGTATTTTTTCAAGGAGTATCCTCATTACCGGGGTCATATTTCCTATTCATAAAACCAACCAATTTTATAGGCGAATTCTTCCATAGACAGTTTATCATAAATTAGTGACTGTTCCAGCCTACTCTCATCACCAAACTAACTTGGTGGATTCTCTGGCTCAAATGAGATGTTTCCCATGTCCTTCTTCTCATCCTCATCGACCTTCTTCCCATAAAAATGGTTGTAGACATTCTGGGCACTGTCAAGCTGCTTTGCAAGTGCCTTCTTCTCTGTCACCAACACCACAATCCGCTCCTTCTTCTCCTTCAACTCGTTTCTCAGTCCCCTCATCTTCGTCTCCATGTGAACCACCTTGTTCTTTATGTCTGCCACATCGACCTTCGTCCCAAACTCCTTCTCCATCTTCTCTGCTATCTCCCTATTTGTCTTATTCAGTCGCCTATTCTCATCCTTCAGCCCACTTGCCTCTTCCTCCAATTCGCGTATCTTCTCCATCTTCTTCTCATTCTCCTCTTCCAACTCCTGTGCCCTTTCCTTGTAGTTTCCCTTCTTAAACTGCTCCAACTCAAATCGCAACTGTGCATTCTCCCTCTCCTGTTCTCCTCTCTGTGCTCGTGCCCTACCAAACTCCTCCTGTTCCTCCTCGTACTTCCTCTCCAATGCTGCCAACTCTCCTCCTACAACTTCCAGTCTCTTCTTCATCTCCGAATTCTCCTCATCCAAATACGCTTCTTTCTCCCTTCTTCCTCGTTCTTCATGCTCCCTCTGCTCCTGAACCTGCTTCTTCTCCTTAATAAGTCTAATATTGTCTTCCTCCATCTTCCGTAACAAACTGCCCAAATACGCCCTATATTGGTGCTCTTCTGGCTTATTAAACTTAAGTGTCAACTTCTCCACGTTTCTGAAGTCACCCTGTTCCACAAATCGTAGAACAAATCCCTTTTCTCCTTCTTCTGCTACCACGGCCCTCAAGGCGCCTCCGCCCCTTGCTACGCCGTAGAACAGTCGCACCAACACAGGCAGAAACCTGTCGTATCCAACCAGAATGTCTTGCTCCTTCTTATAAAGGTAGAAGTCACCATGGGTGATAGTACAGAGGTAGACAGTAAAGAGGTTGCTCTTCTCGACCAGACGCACCTCAACCTGTGCTGGATGCCTTGTGATCTCCACCCTCATTGCACTGACTCCCTTTGGCGTGTATACTGTGATTGTGTCTGAGTAGATTGATTCAGTGCTTGAATTGGTTGAGTAATTTGTTTTGTTCATTTGGGGTGGATGATCAAGACAGGTAGAATGGTAGAAATGGTAGAAATGGTAGAATGGTAGAAATGGTAGAAATGGTAGAAAGATACACCCACTTGAACTCATCACGTGTCCCATCTGAAATGCCTCTCTCTAATCATCTACCACTACCACAACTTGACTTTTAATCCCCTTAATAAATGGCTCAAAATCCATCTGATTTCACAGACCACGAAACAAGTGAAAGCTGCAGCCAGGAGCAATCAGTGGTGACGGATGAGACATCCAGTGCGTCTGAATCGCGAGACAACCTCGCTGTCTCCTCGACGCAGGAGAGGGAGGAGGAGGCAGTCCGTGGCGAGTACCAGGAGACCACGATTTCGGAGGTGCTCAAGGAGGCCTTCTGCACCAGGAAGTTCCTGTGCACTCTCCTTGCCCTCTGCCTCGCTGCCGTCTCTGCCTTTACGATGCACATCGACGTGAGTGTCGTGAGCCAGGAGAAGACACTGAAGCAGGTTCCACTTGGCTTCTTCCTCCTAAGCGGCGCCGCCCTCCTCATGGTCGCAGTCGTCCTTGGCTACGCCATTGAGACAGTCACCTTCCGCATTCTCAGGGGATCTGCCTCCTCTACGAGCTCAGTCATGTTCTACGCCTACAACTGCGCCTACCACATCTCACTTGGCTGTGCCCTAGGGGGCCTCCTTGTCTGCAACATGCTTACAATAGGCGACTTCTACATCCCCAATCCCTACCTCTTTGAGCTGAGGGTGAGGGTGGTGCTTCCTATGACAATTCTCTTCTTATGCTTCTTTGCCCTACAGCGGTGTCTGACTCAGAAGACCGTCTTTGGCTTCAACTACTCGACCTATCTCAAGAGAATCAGAAGGGCGATACTCATGGACTTGTTTGTGACACTGATGGCCTGCGTGTCGGAGTTCAGGAACGAGACGAGGCCAGTCGACTTCGAGGAGGCAGACGAAGACTGGGTCGATGACAGCCAGATATTCGTGGCAAGGAGGAAGCAGAGGGCTCCAAGGAAGCTGGCCACCTACATCTTCGAGAAGCAGTTTCAGGGGAGCAGCAGGGCGCCAATGACATTTGGTGCCAAATTCACGCTACTGAACGAGTTCAGCACCCTCTGTCGGACATTCAGGCGGACAGACGCGTCGATTCTGAGCATCCTGGCCAGGCTCAAGGAAAAGGCCCATTCAAAGGCGGCCGCCTTGCACAGGAGTCTGAAGAGGAAGCAGATGAGGAAGATGGGCGACTTCGGCTTCGTCTTCAAGAGACAGGCCGTCTTCAACGCATTCTTCGAGCAGATGGGCGTCAGGAAGAGCGACGAGATCACCAGGGACTTCCTGGAGTTCTTCATCGAGAAGTCGCTGAAGGAGAAGTACCTGATCAGTTACAGTCTCAGGCAGCTCCATGCTGCCATTGAGAGAGTCTCCCTTGCCGTACAGGTGCTGATATGCGTGGTATACGCGATATGCACAGTCATATCAGGAATGGGACTAACAAACTCAATGGGTGGAATTGCGTCTACGATATTTGGAATTCCAATCATTGCATCGCTGCTGAAGGAGCACCTGGTGAATCCAATCATGTTTCTCTTTGTGATTCACCCGTATGACGTGGGAGACCGTGTTCTGGTCACACTCGATGGGAAGCAGGAGAATCTGGTCGTGTCGACTCTCAACGTCTTTTCTACCCATTTCTTCAGGTGGGATGGAACGTGCTTCTTTGTACCAAATTCAGTTCTATCTGCCACGCCAATATGCAATATCAGGCGTAGTGGGCCGTGTATGGAGAATCACGTCGTACAGGTGTCGACGCAGACTGATCCACAGAAGATTGCGGAGCTAAAGCGTCGACTACAGCACTTTGTGAAGAAGTATCCAATCTACTACTCAGATTACGTATTAGTCAACTACGAGAGAATAGATGACTCAAACAAGTTGCACGTGAAGGTGCTGATGCAGTACAAGACAAACATCCAGAACTATGAGCACTACCTGTCACTGAGATCGAACTTCGTATGCTACATGAATAAGCAGATTAGCAGTCTGGGGATTTCATATGAGTTGCCTCTGCAAAAAATATCACTGGAGGAGGATGGAACCAACGGGATAGCAAAATCAGCCAGGGTCTGATACAGATAATGGAGTGGTATATTGCACTACTTGATCAAAACAATCACCTGAATTAATTATTTGTTAGTAACTACCATATTGGCGCAAATACTGTTGATAATCCACTACTACTACAGTCATTGGCGTATTCCTTGATATTTGCAACTATTTCAGAGAGTAGACCATCATCAGTGGTAGAAACAATGCCACTCTTTAGATTGCGTCCCAATTTGACAAGGAGGACTTCGATGCTACAGAGAACACGTTCCAGGTGGCTGTTTTTGATTGTGCCGATGATTTGATCAATTTTGGCAGAGAAGTCGGATGAGATCTCATCAAGTGCTAGGCCAGCAAAATTCCACTTCAATTTGGGCTGATTCTGGTCGATGGTGTCGTAGTAGAGGTGTTTTAGGAGATTCTGAATAACCAGGCTGATTCTGGGAGAGTGGCTTCTAAGGTAAATTGAGAGATTTTCAAGTCGCTTGATTTTCCAGAGGACTCTGAAAATGAGGCTGAGTTTGTGACTGGTTGAAGCAGCATCGATGAGGCCGCAGATGTCGGGGCTGAATCGGCAGTAGAGGCTGAATGGCTCCTCGAGGTAGACTCGTTCTGATCCATCAGCACTGAAATACTCAGCACTGTTTGTTTCAGCCTGAATATCAAGAGAGGCGTGATTAGTGGTTCTGATTTTACACCTGGTGATTCCTTCTTCAATGATGCTCAGAAGACTCTTCTTATTCAGATTTCTGTTCTCTTTGAATTCATCAAAGAGGAAGTCGATGAAGTCGACTCTCCTGAACAGGAAGACGTCACTGATGAAATCAAAGAGGCACGTGAGTGTTTCGTGGTAGTGCGTGTAGTAGAGGCGATTCAGGCTGAGTTTGAGGAGACCAAGATCCTGGTGCTGTTCAGGAAGGTGGATGTTTTTGTATCGCAGTTTCTGGGCGTATTTTCCAACGTAGCAGATTTCTTCTACTTCCTTGTTTGCCATGTGTTCTGGAATCAACCCGTAGTCTACGGTATCATTTTTGATGAAATATTCACCATATTGATCAGATGGATCACCAGTCTGTAGATACAAGACAGTCATTCTATCAATGACTCGTCTATGGTACTCGGAGACCAGGATGCTCTTGTAGTTCTTTGTTTTGATTTCCTTACTGATCTGATCAATTTGATACATTTTCATGTAGCTGCTGTACATGCTGGCGTATGTTTCAGTCAGACCAGTTGGATTCAGGCTGATTAGAGTGGTCTCGTATTGAGATACAACCTGAGAGGCATCCTTCAGAAACTCACGATGTGTCTCATTTTGTGGGTGAGATGTCTCTGATTTGACTCGTTTGTAGATCATTGCGTATTGTACGATGTACTTCAGGGCATTGAAGAGGTGCAGTGGAATCTGCTGCTTGATTTTGTCCATTGAATGCTTCTTATTGTTCAGGTAGATTTCACTGGAACCAGAAAGAGACATTCCCAGGGCAATTGAAAGAATATTTGACTCAATTTGACCAAGAACTGTCCTGTGCTCCTGGCTGTGTCTGAGCTGGTAGAGAGCATACGCCAGCTTCCTGCCTTCTTCTGTTTCAATTTGAGCGTAAGCTGCTCTCTCTGTCTCATTCAACAACTTTGAGATGTCTACAGGCTGTGCATAAAATGGTTTTGTTTTTGGCGTATAATTTGTTTGTGGTGTCTCTTTTATGCTTAATAGATTTCTGTACAATTTCTCAACCAGAAGAAGCGCCTTGCTTTTTGGCTCTGGTGGCACCGTCTCTTTTTTGTTGCTGAAGTTCCTCAGATGCACCACGTTGCTTCTGCTTCTGTTTTCACTAACTGGCTTCTCCCTGGAAATTGTGACTTCAGCACCACTCAACTTTCTTTTGGTTGTTTGAGGCGACTTTGCATCTACCTCTCCACTGCAAGTCGACTGATCTTCCGTCTCCGTCTCGTCTGCAAATAGACCATGCGTCACTTGCGTTGTACTCGTTCCCTTTGCTCCGCTATTGTTATCATCTCCTTGCATATGGGCATAAAAGAATACTAATTTTATGTGAATTAAGCTTATTCCACAAACAAATATTTTGTAGCCTAATTTCCAATCCAATTCACCTAACTAACCTGAATGAATTCTATTTACCCTATAATCCCTTTCATCCACTTCAATAATGAAATTATTTCGTAAACAACCCTATCAAACAATGAACAAGGCAGAGCAGTTGGAATATGAGAGGAGGCTGATCAGAAAGCACAGGACTGAGATACTCAGCAGTGGCTCATTCGACTGTTTGAAGCAGTACGACGTCCTCTACATCCACAAGGTCGATCAGAGACTGCTGCTTGAAGAACTGGTCAAATCGAAGCCATCTGCCCACTACAATTTGAAGAAACTCGAAACCAAAACGCTTCTATCGCTGGCTGAGGAGCATCAGCACCTTCTTGGCCGCATCCAGCACGTTGCTTCAACCAGAGACGGCCTCTTCAGCGATGCTGTTTGCTTTCTGGAAAACAGGCGTGTGAAGAGTGAGCTCCACTACTGGATTCCAGGAGCCAGAACCACGAACGTGTTTGCGATGATTGGGAATCTGCTGCCTGATTTTGGTGATCTGTACAAGGTCTATTTGCTGAAATGCTATGCATTCAGGGAGCAGCATCGCGACTGCCTGAGGTATCTCAGGGAGAAGGGGAACAAGGTGGAGGTGGAGGAGATCGAGTGCATGGTCCAGGACAGGGGGATCTTCAGGAACAACTTCACCATCACCAAATTGGACTACGTTGATGAGATCAAGGAGGGTGCATTTCATAGGGCAATTGATGGATACAGAAATCCAGGTGAATTTGGGGAAGTTGAGGTGGAAAACTGTGGCAAACTCGGAAACATCGTGAGACGACGAAACATCAACAGGGATCTCAGTGCTGAGATGCTACCGGAACTGTCGTTTGTGGAGTACGAAGTTGATGGGGTGGTTTACGTGGGGAAACTAAGTGATTTTGATCAAATTGTCAAATATTGATCACATTACTTAACTCGCCTTATTTTGCTCTTTTTGTCCTCAATGTAGACCTGGTAGATGGCACTGGCACTGTCGTACATCGAGTTCTTGAGGGAGACAACGAAGAACTGGGCATTTTTGAACTCGTTTCTGATGACGTGGCCAATGTGCTGAGTGAAACTCAAATCCAGGGCAGCATCGATTTCATCAAAGATGTAGAAAGGCGCTAGTTTGTAGGTGAGGGCTGAGAACATCAGGCACATGGCCACGATGGATCTCTGGCCACCACTCAGCTCAAGCAGAGAGCACTTTGCATTTTGATCAACTGATTTCGATATCACAATTCGATAGGACTCCTTGTCGATGGAGGCAGTGAAATCAGGCAAGAAGTATTGGACAAGTCTACAGAGACTGCTATTGAAGTGCTGCAATGCCAGATCAACCTCCCTGAGACTCTTTTTGTTCAATTTGGTGATGTTTTTGACGATGAGCTCTTTGTCTGTTTCAAGTTGCCTGATTTTGTTACGGAGCTCCTGTTCAAGCAGGGCATTTTGTTCAAGAAAGTTGAAATTCACCGGATTCATCGAAATGGGCTGAATTTGGGTTTTGATCAATTTGCGGAGCTGATTGATTCTATCAGTGCGCTCTTTGGTGCCAATTTGACTGTTTGGGGTGTTTTCATTGGGATGACACCTGATTTGATCAAATTCAGCAACAATTTGATCAATATCAGAATCAGGAAAGAGTGATTTGCTTTCTGAGATGATTCGGTGCTTCAATTTGGTGACTTCTCTGAACAACTCATTCTTTTCAGCGACATTGATTTCAGGCACATTGAGATCCATTTGTTTCAAATTGATTAGTTCTGATTTGAGTGTAATGGATTTTGTCTTGTTTTCATTGATTTGCATCTGTTTCAATTTGTATCTTCTTCTTTCTGCTTCAATTGTTTGATTTCTGATCAGAGTCTCCTTCAACCCTATCTCCAATTCTGTGATCATTTTGCTGATTTTGTTGTATTCATGCTGTATGTTGGTGCTATTCTTCATCAGGTTGACAAGTAGGTTGAGTTTATCTGTTTTCGCATCCATTTGATTTCTCATGGTAAAAAACTGATTGTGATCTGTTAAGAATATTTCAATATCTTTTGTTTTTAGGTTACTTTCACCTCTATACTGCAATTTAGCAGCCTCTTTCTTCACTATTGTATTAATCTCATCAATTTTCTGTTCAACTTCCATAATCTCTTGCCTAAAATTCTTTCTTGGTTTCAAATTGCTCTTTCCACCTGTTAGTGATCCAAATGGGTCATAAATAGTGCCATCTGCTGTAACACACTTGATTCTGTACTTATGACAAGCATCATACGCTTCCTTTTTGTCCCAGAATACAAAATAATCAGCAAGGAATCCTTCAAATACCTTGTTGTATTTTGTATCATATTCAATACAATCTAACATGTTTCTGCAGTTATTTCCTATTGCTTTGTTTCTCTTAGATGCTACCAGTTTGTTTAGTGGAATTATGCTTACTTTATGCTTTATGTTTTTCAACAACGTAGCTGCCACTTCATCATCCTCTACAACTAAGAAGTCAGCTCTACCACCCAAAACAGTCCAAATGGCATCAGCAAAGACACTGTCTTTGATCTTAAATAATTCTGCTACTGTACCTAATATTCTTCTGTTGCTGTAGTCATAACTTAGTTTGTTCATTGAATTTGTTTTGTTCTCCAACAAACAAATTAACTTATCTTTTATGCCTTTTAAGCTTGTTACTTCTATTGATTTCACCCCAAAATTAACCTGGATATTATCAACCTGTTGCCGTAGTCTTTCAGTTTCCATAGTTAATTTCTCTATTTCCAGTCTCTTGTCACCTCCTGCACCCGCCAATTGCGCTTGTAGAATCAATTCCTGTTCTTTTAGTCTCTCCAACCTGTTTCTCATTTCATCTGTATCCTCCACTACAAATTCCCTTTCTTCCTCCTGTATCAATTCCAATCCATTCAACACACTCTCAATCTCTCCAATTCTCTTCAAAATGCCCTTCACATCCATTTCTTCCACTCTCATAATCTCTTCGTATTTTGCTTGCTTTTCCTTGTATTCATGCACCTGTTTCCCAATCTTTTTCATCTTTTCCTCCTGTTGTATCTTCCTTTCCATTCTCTCCAATTCTTCCAACTCCTCCTTCCACTCCTTCATATGCTCCTGTATCTCCCTGTTTCTCTCATATACCTTCTTCTCTTCCTCCATTTGACTGAAATACGGTGCCACCTTGCTCTCCAGGTTCTTCTGTGCTATTTTCAACTTAAATTCCTTCTTTTCCAACTGCTCCAATGATTCCACCTGCTTCGAATTATAATGCCTTGTCCCAGCCACTTCTTCAATCATGTTCCTCACTTCCTTACCTGTCATATTCACCATCCTCGTAATATGCCCCTGTTGAATAACAAAGTCGCTACTTATGTTCAACATCCTCACTATGTTACGTATCGTATTCCTCAAACAAGTCGTCCCATTCAACCTGAATACTGTCTTCACCTCCTTATTTGTGCATATTATTGTCCTCTCTACCACCACATCCCCGTAACTTGGTACGTCTCTGAGACTGAGACTCACCCTCGCCTGCTTCCTGTGAATGTTTATCAACTCCCTCATTCCCCCTACTCTCATGCTCCTGCTATTCTTCAAATCCAAACAGAATAAAATTGCATCTATGACATTGCTCTTTCCTGCTCCATTCATTCCTGTTATGGCATTAAATGCCCTGTCCAATCCCCCTACAACAACCTTATCCTCGTAGCACTTGAATCCCTCCATTTCTATCTCTGAAATATGCATTTGTGGGCTATACCCTCCTACTTGACTCACTACCTCTCTTTCAAATCATTCTTTGTTTACTAACAAACAAATGACTGATCAAGGACGTCCATCAACCGATGCGTCTCCTTCCACTGGCATCCATCTCACATCTTCTGCCTAATCACTCTTTTGTTTACTAACAAACAATATATAAAAAAACAACAATAGTATCCCCATGCTAACATTCCTGAGAGCAGTTCTTGCGGTGCAGACTAAGTGTAGCAGCAAGTCCATGGCATATTATCCAGGTAACGAGCTGAACAACAAGATTATTCCCACGGTGTACACGTGTACCGACTCTAGCGACGACCTGACTCAGCTGACGAAGTCAGACGGCCACTTTGAGTCGAAAGTGTGCCCAGAATACGCCTATGCCCTTGCATTTGCAACAACTAAGAAGGCACTTGCGACAGGAGTCGCCTACGTCTGGATCGAGGTGAACACGACCAAACTGCTGAACGACTACAAGGCAACTAAGACACAGGCAGTTGATCTTGGCTCAGTTTTCACGACAATGGCGAAGTTGACTGACACGTCAGTTCCAGTCGACCTGAGTGGGGCGTACAAGGAGCTGAATGGAAACAGCCTCAAAGTTGGATTCTACCTGAAACTGACTAAGGCGGAATTCGAGAACATAGAATACCTCTATTTTGCACGCCTGTCGCCTATCACAGAAATTGACGTGACTCAGTCTGCTGATTACAAGACACTGGACATCACGTACAAGTCGGAGGTCATCACCACTGGTGGACAGAGCACGAGAAACGTGAAATCAGATTCGATCAACAAAAAGGTGAATCCGGAGACATCTGGAAGGCAGTTTGATCCACTGGTGCTTAATGAGCTGAAGCGCCTTTTGGACGACAACAGCAGCGAGAACTGCGAGATGATCTCTGACTCGATGCTGGGCAGAATCTGCTTCGTGAACGAGGACATCAAACTCACCAACGCAATCAATGACGTCATCGGATGCGAATGGGTTGATCCATGTTGCGTAGACGATGCAGTGCAATTCGAGTGCAACTTCATCAACTTCTGTAACACCGCAGTGGCATCGATCTGCACGACGAAGGCGTCTGGGCAGATCTCAGAGCCACGCGTGGTCGAAGTGTGCAAGAAGTCGCCAGCCCCAAGAAACATGTACACCCTTTGTGCCCTAGTCAACTTCTACAACTGCAACTTCTACAACTGCTCATTTTCATTCGATATGATAACGCAGATCCACAACAACTACGGAAAGACAATTTGCACGCCACTGGCTCTGGAGGACTTCTGCGAGATGTTCGGCGTCGACATCGATTCAATGGACGAGTTCGACGAGGAGATGATGAAGGAGCTGAAGAAGAAGGAGGCAGAGAAAAAGAAGAAGAAGACCACAAGCAAGAAGAGCGAGGAAAAGAAGGAGGGATTCTTCAGCAAGCACAAGACGGCATTACTCGTCACAGGAGGTGTTGTAGCAGCAGCAGTTGTGGGCGGATCAGTCTACATGTTCTTGCTATAAATAAAGTGTAAAATTGTGAATTTGTTTGTTTGGTTTATGCACAAAAAAGACCCATGAAAATGGCACAAGCAAAACCAAGGAACAGGGCCTGTTTGTCTTGTGGGATTATACGCAGCGTGGAGAAGTTTAAGACGGAAGGATGTCCGAATTGCGCATTTCTGCAGCTTGGAAGAGGCAGAAACTGCGACTACTGTACGTCTAGCAGTTTTAGGGGGCAAATATACTATACTGACGTGGCAAGAAGCTGGGTTGCAAAGTGGCAGAGGAATGGTGGCTGTGTCCCTGGATTCTACGCGATGACCGTAGAAGGAGACTTGCCAGACGAGTTCATTGCTCGCCTAGAGAAGAGTGGCATTGAATATGTGAGTAGAAACCAGGAACACGAAATGCAGTAAGCTTAAAAACAAACAACTATCTTATTTACGGTTACTGTGCTTCTCTGCTGCGTCCTGACGGATTCTGTCTTCCAGAAATGATACAAGCATCTCCTTTACAGAGGCATAGACGTCTCTGAACATCCTCCATCCCCATCTTCTTGCAATCCCCTTGTATCTCGTCATTGCTGAGTGGTAGCTCAACTCGTGCTTCTTGCTGAAGTAGTCCCAAAAGATGTCTTCCATCTCTATTCTCACACGAAGATCCCTCTTCTCCAGCTCCTCGTCCTCAAACAGCCTCAGAACAAACTCCCTTGCACTTGAAATCCCCTCTGTCTCTGAGTCCCTAACTACCCCTATGATTCTGTCTATGTCCACACTTACGCTGCACTGGAAGTTGTTTCTAAGCAACTCCAATGCGAATTCTGCATCTACCAATTTCTCTCTAAGAAGCCCAAAGGCCTTTCCATTCAGGTACTTCACAATTGCACGATGAAGCCTGTGCTCTTCAACTCCAAAGGCCTTTGCCAACTCCTTCAGCTCCTCCCTGTTTCTTGGCAAACCAGTCGCCTCAATCCGCCTCAATGCCCCTGCTGTAACGTATTTCACCTCTATTTCAGCCAACACACACGTGTATCGTGCTGCTATCTCTACCTCAGCATGCTCTATAATCGGCTGAAACTTCTTATACTTCGTCCCATGCTCCTTAATGAGTCGCAGCAACTCCCTGTCGTCTTCTGCCGTGAATTCTCTCTTCCTATACGGATTGTACAGAAATGCCACTTCCCTATAGACAGTCAGAAATGCCCTATGTTTGAGTTTATCAACTATTTTGCAAATGAGTCCCCTGGCATCAAATGTGTCGTACTCCTGCGGTGCCTCGAAGTTGCAGTAGATCGTCCACCTTCCCAGTTCGTCCATCGTAGACTCCTGCTCCCTCATGTGCTCCAAAATGACTCCATCGATAATTTCTCTTTCTTTTCGACTAAATTGCCCAAACTTCACCACCAACCCGTGCTCCTTGACCAGTCTCCTCATCTCTGCCATCGTCATCACCTGCGTCCTAATCCGTGTCTGGGCTTCTTCTTTTGTCATCATTTTCTGGGGTGATAAATCACTACCATTTATTTATCAACTTGTTTCTCTCTTATTTATTTATGCTCCTACTTCTACTCTCATCCACTCTTCTTGCATCCAACACGTACATTCTGCTTGTTAGAAATGGAACTGACATCAGCAGAGACCTCACCTCTGCCGATCGACTCCTCGATGCCGTTGAAATTGGCACGAATGAGATGCTCTACAACGTCTCCCTCTCGCCTGAGTCTCTCTCTCGCCTGAGATCCAGGAATGAGATTGAGATTGAGGAGGATGCCGTGATATCAGTCCAGAAGAGCAGGACGATTCAGCCGAATCTGACCAAATTCAGCCCACCCAAATTCAGCCCCGTTTTCACTGGCCAATTTCTGGTTCGGCTGAATTCGCCCTGGTCTCTTGGCTTCCTGACCAATTCCAGCTCATTCGAGTACTTCTCGAATATCGGTAGAGGAGTTGCTGTCTTTGTTCTTGATACTGGAATTGATACAACTCACCCTGAATTCAGGAACAGTGGCCGTGTAGTAGAGAATTGCGCTGATTTCACTAATAAAAATAGTAGGAAGAATCAGAAGAGAAAGAGGAGTAAATCCCGTACCAATGGGAACAATGACGACAATGGCCATGGAACTCACATTGCTGGCATCATCGGTGGAGTTGAATCGGGCGTAGCCAAACACGCTGATCTCCTTGGAGTCAAAATCCTCGATTCAAGTGGCAGGGGCAGAATGTATTCGATGTATCGAGGGATCCACTACGCCGTAAACAGGGCCAGGAGGAGTGGGCTGACTCGTGTTGTGGTGAATCTGAGCATTGCTGGGGCCAAGAACGCCCAAATCAACAAATTGATCAATCGAATGAGCAACAAGAAGAATGTGGTCTTTGTGACGGCAACTTCGGCCAGAGCAGCTGCGCCTACACGCCTGGCTCGTCGCGATGCTCCATCACCGTAGGCGCAGTTGATCGAGACGGTCTCCCGGCCCCGTTCACGAACAGCGGCCCCTGCATCGACGTCTACGCCCCAGGCGTCGGAATCCGCTCTGCCTCGCCAGGCGGCGCCTACGCCACGATGGACGGGACGAGCATGGCCGCTCCCCACGTTTCAGGTGTTGCGGCTGCCTATCTCAGTTTGACTGAGCTGACTGCTGCTGAGGTGAAAGAGGTTCTCATTCAGGATGCAATGGTTGTAGGGGGAGTTAGGGTGGCATCACTGGTGCAGTTATACGAGAGACTGTCTGGGGTGGTAGATAGTAGTAGTAGGTAGTTAGGGTGGTAGGTAGTTAGGGTGGTAATAAAGTAGTAGGTAGTTAGGGTGGTAATATACTATGGTAGCAATATACTATGGTAATATACTATGGTAATATACTATACTATGGTAAGTTAGCTAGTATGGTAAACTACTATACTCTACTATACTATACTCCCCTCACCTTCACTTTTCTTCCTTTGATTTCCTTCCCTCTCAAAACAGCTGCTGCCCTCTCAGCCACCTCCTCGTTCTGAAGTGTCACGAATCCAATTCCGTTGCACAGCCCAATTCGCCTATCAACCAGCACCCGCAACTGCATCCCCTGAATCCCCTCCTCTTCCAGTGCCTCTGCTACGTCTTCTTCAGTTGCATAAACTGATAGATTCACCAGCATCAACTTCCTGCTTCTTCCTCCCTCTTCCTCCCCGTATTTCTCCTCTATCTCCTCCTCCAGTCTCCTCTTCATCTCCTCCTTCCTGTTCCTCTCATCCACCTCTGCCCTGTAGTTCTCCTCCATCTCCTCCATCTCCTTCCTCTCTCTTCCTCTTCCTCTCTTTCTCTCCTTCTTGTAGTATCCTGCCTCTCTTCGTTCATAATACGCCCTCTTCTCATCAAAGTGACCACTTCTCTCACTCTCTCTTTCACTGCTTCCTCTTCTTCGTCTCATGGGCTACATTTTGTTTATTACCATTTTGCCTACTACTCATTTTGCCTACTACAACTACTACAACTACTACTACCACTACATTATTCTGGTTGTGATATAGGCTATTCTTGATACTACGCCCATTACAAGGAGATTGAAGTGGAGAAAGAAGCCAGAAGAGACGTCACAGGAGCAGTGGACGAAGATGTCAGCACAGAGAGGGAGCAGAGAGGGTGATGGGCCGCGTCTGATGGATCGTAGCAGCAGAATGAGCTGTCTCATCACGTGGTGGGAGCGAAACTGTTTTCGATGGCGACTAACTAACAGTTGTAGGAGATTTGTCTCATTTTTCAGTCTGCTTCCTTCAATTCCTCCCATTTTGCCCTAAGAATGAGACAGGGAAACACAAAAGCAAAGGGGCAGAAGAGGGCCCAGGACGAGGAGTCGGCCAGAATCCACCTGTTCATGGCAGCAGTGGACGAGAAGATCCATTCGCCCCAGTTTGTGGAGGAGATCCACGCCAAGTTCATAGCAGCTCGGAATACGACAGGTGGGTGCAACGAGAGCGAGTCTCTTTCGACTCACAGGAGTCTCTGCATACGGAAACTCCACAAATACATCGACTACTTCCTGTCAGCTGGACCATTCACTGAGAGCGAGCATGCGCTATTCACCCGAACAGTTGAGCTGATGAACGGCTACTACCACGAGATGATCAACAGCAGAAGGAGTGACATCGTCTATCCAGCTAGGAATACGCCTGTCTACAGCCTGTTCTTCAACAGGGGAATGAAAATCAAGAACATTCTTCTGACCAGGAGGCAGAAGTAGGCGACTGGGCTGAAACAGCCTAAATGTGAAAGTCGCCCATTTCTTGTTTTTGTAGTGTAGTGGTTATCACGTTCGCCTAACACGCGGAAGGGCACGAGTTCGATCCTCGTCAAAAACATTTTTGCTGACTCCACCTGACTACCCCTTGATTACGGCAATTGGAACTGTTTTTGCCACTTTTCGACTGATTCCAACTCTCTCGCAGTGGTCTACGACTGCATTGACGTCCTTGTAGCAGGAAGCAGCCTCCTCTACGACACCAGGAATGGAACCAGTTCGTAGTTCAATTCCAGCCATGGAATTGAGGACAGAGGAGACAGAGAAGATTCTTCTGGCCTCAGAACGACGAACAAGGCGGCCTGAGCCGTGGGCAGTGCTGTGGAACGTGGCCTCTGCCCCGTCACAGCCGCGAAGGACGTAGCTGCTCGTCGCCATCGATCCACCAACTCCAACCAAATCACCAGGCTTCGCCCTGCTCGCCCCCTTTCGGTGAATCAGCCACTCTTTGCCCCCAACTGTCTCAATTCGTGCGATATTGTGGCCACAATCAGAGAGAATCTCAACCTCTGCTTCCGGAATGTGATTCCGAAGCACTCGAAGTGCCATTGCTGAGATCGCCTCCCTGTTTGCGTACGCGTAGTTTGCTGCTGCCTTCATCTGCCCAAAATAGGCCTGGCCTGAATCCGATTCAATCGGAATGAAGAGGTCGCCTGTGGCGTGAGATCGACAGATCTCGTGGCCGAGACTCCTCGACCCGCAGTGGATGAAGACGAGGACGTCTCCGACGCAGAGGCTGCCCTCCTCGTAGACTTCGGCCACTCGCTCTATTTCCAGGTAGTGGTTTCCGCCTCCCAGTGTCCCAAACATCGCAATTCCCCTTCCAAGCTGCTTTTGGCTGAACTCGTCCACGCCTGTTTCCAGGGAGCCAAAGTCCTCCACCTTTTCGTAGGCGTCGACTGACTCGTGGAGAGCCGTGACAGAGTCGCGGCCATCCTGCGTCCTCATCTCCGTTCCAACGAGTCCAGCAATGCCACGAGAGAGAACGGCCTTCATCTGCGCCTGACTCAGTCGGAGACTGCTCCTTCTTGTTCCAGATGGTATGAATTCATGCATTTCACTTATAATTGAATTAAGCTTACTTGCAATTTGTTCGTATGTCAAATTTGTTCGTAACACTCGTACTCCGCAGTTTATGTCGTATCCTACGCCTTCTGGTGCTATGAATCCACCTTCCAGTGGCATTGCCACGACTGTTCCTATTGGAAACGAGTATCCTGGATGCATGTCCGGTAGACCGACTATCCTGAGTCCGTCTGCCCCTGGTGCCACCTTCTTGTAGGATTCCACGATGCTGTTCAGCTGCTCTTCGACTACTCCGTCCTCCAGAAGCTGTTTCTGTAGCTGCTGTGGCATGTACAGCCTGTGTCTGTCTCTAAACAGAATGAAGTCGTTGAATGCCTTCATGCTAAATAGGGTTAAATAGACCAATAAGTTTATTCATGAAATTGTAATCATACTAAATTGCAATCATACTAAATTGGAATCATACCGTAGTCTCCTACTCATTCTACCCATACAAGTCCTCTCCATCGTCTCCTCCCTTTCCATCTTCCCCGTCTTTCTTCAAATCCACGTTCATGCTCTTTGCAAATGCCTCAAACTGCATAATCTCCTGCCTGGTAACTGACTTCCTTGCGTCCTTCATCGCCTGAGCAAAGTACTTTGAGCTGAGCATTTCGACTGGATCGTCTTCGACCTTCTCTGACGTCATCTTGTGCCTGATGCTCTCTCGAATTGCGAACTTTGCCGCCCTCTGACAGATCTCAGTGAGGTCTGCTCCACTGAATCCCTCTGTCTTTCGTGCTATCGCCCCCAAATCCACGTCCTCTGCCAGCGGTGCCTTCCCCAACTTCGCCCTGAGGATGCTGAGCCTGCTCTTTTGGTCTGGAAGTGGAATGTAAACGAGCTGGTCGAGTCGACCTGGCCTCATCAGGGCCGAGTCGAGCAGCCCCGGCCTGTTCGTCGCGCCCATGACGAAGACGTTCTTCTTCTGGTTCATTCCGTCCATCTCAGTCAGCAGCTGATTGAGCATCCTGTCTGTGGTGCCACCGTCATTTGAGGCCGTCATCCTCGACTTTCCGATTGAGTCGATCTCGTCAAAAAAGAGGACACAGGGAGTCGAACCCCTGGCCTTGTCAAACAGCTCCCTCACATTCGACTCCGAGTCACCGACGTATTTGCTCAGAAGCTCTGGGCCTTTGATTGAAATGAAATTGGCCTTGCACTCAGTGGCCACTGCCTTTGCAAGCAGCGTCTTCCCGCAGCCAGGCGGCCCGTAGAGGAGGACGCCCTTGCTCGGGTTCTGGCCGAATTTGATGAACTTCTCGGGGTGGTTCACTGGGTACATCACGGTCTCACGCAGCTCTCGCTTGACGCCCTCGAGTCCGCCGATGTCGGCCCATTTCACGTTCGGCGTCTCCACGACCGTCTCGCGAAGCGAGGACGGGTCCGTGTTGCTGATGGCGTAGGCGAAGTCGTCCTTGCTCACGCTCAGGTTCTTCAGCACCGCTGCTGGGATCCGCTCTCGATCGAGGTCGACGTAGGGCAGCTTTCGCCTGAGCTGCTGAATGGCGGCCTCGGAGCACATCGACGCCACGTCGGAGCCAGTGAAGCCGTGGATCTCCCTCGCCACCGCGAGCAGGTCGACGTCCTCGGCCAGTCGCATGTTTTTGGTGTGGATGCTCAGGATTTCAAGGCGGCCGATTTCGTCAGGGACGCCGATTTCGATTTCACGGTCGAATCGGCCGTAGCGCCTGAGCGCCGGGTCGATCGAGTTCGGCCTGTTCGTGGCGCCGAGGACGATCACGCTCGTCCTCTCCGTCATCCCGTCCATCAGCGTCAGCAGCTGCGACACAATTCGCTTCTCGCTCTCCTGGCTGCTCTTCTCCCTGTTTGGCGCGATCGAATCAATTTCGTCCATGAAAATGATCGCAGGTGCCTGTTCGGCCGCAGTCTCAAACGCCTTCCTCAGGTTCGACTCCGACTCGCCTGACATTTTGCTCATTATTTCAGGGCCATTTATCACCAGCAGAGTTGCCCCAATTTCATTCGCAATTGCCCTTGCAATCTGCGTCTTTCCAGTCCCAGGCGGCCCGTGGAGCAGAATGCCCCTTGGCGGCCTCGTTCCAATTCGGGCAAAGAGCTCCGGGTGCTTCAGAGGCAGCTCCACGCACTCGCGGATCTGCGCCATCTGCTTCCTGCATCCGCCGATGTCGTCGAATCCGATCACGTCGAACTCCTTCTCGATCTCGCTCTTCGTCGTCGTCTGCGACATGTCAATTCGCGTGTTCTCGGAGACACGGCCGTGGTCGACCTCCTCGCCCTCCTTCTCGCCAGGCAGTGCTCCCCTGATCCCAGTCACCTTCACCTCAATTCGTAGCATTCCACTTGCGATGGTGTAGACGCCTCCTTTTGAGACGAAACTCGCTGGAATCGAGTCAAAGTAGGGCGCAACGACCTCCTCGAAGACTCGGCCTGAGAGGCCCCTTGTTGTTTCGACCACTTCGGCCAGTGAGACCAGGTAGGCGTCCACGAGCTGCCTGTCTTCGGGCTGGTAGAGTTTCACGGTGTCTCCCGATCTGATTCGCAGATTCGCTCTCGCCTCNTGGTCGACCTCCTCGCCCTCCTTCTCGCCAGGCAGTGCTCCCCTGATCCCAGTCACCTTCACCTCAATTCGTAGCATTCCACTTGCGATGGTGTAGACGCCTCCTTTTGAGACGAAACTCGCTGGAATCGAGTCAAAGTAGGGCGCAACGACCTCCTCGAAGACTCGGCCTGAGAGGCCCCTTGTTGTTTCGACCACTTCGGCCAGTGAGACCAGGTAGGCGTCCACGAGCTGCCTGTCTTCGGGCTGGTAGAGTTTCACGGTGTCTCCCGATCTGATTCGCAGATTCGCTCTCGCCTCCTTCGACAGACACGCTGTCCCGGGCTGCTGGCTCTCGTCCACCCTGCACGTGAACAGGCCGCTTGTTTGTTTGGCTCCCCTCACGAAGACTGGGCCGGCCTCAAAGAGGGCGTTCTTGGTCACGTCAGCCGGGTTCAGGGCGATCTCGTGCTGGCCGATGTTGAGGGTGTTCAGGAGACTGGCATTCACGACCACCTGGTTTGGTAGGGCAGTGTCAAGAATTGCAGTAGACAAATCAACCTTGTTGCTCATAGGGGTGAAAAGGTTGTGATAGTTAGGGTGGTAGCAATTATGGTAGTTATAGTAGGTAGTTAGGGTGGTAGCAATTATGGTAGTTATAGTAGGTAGTTAGGGTGATAGTATTATAGTGGCAATATTATAGTAGTCATTGATTTAGTCTCTTTACCCTTTTACTCTACTAATGTTACTAGTGTCACTACCCTTCCTTTTTACTAACTACTCATCACAGACTGACGTAATTGGCGTTGATGGCAGCAAGCAGTGCCAATGCATCCAGTTTCACCGTGTTCTCCAGTGACAGTGTTCTGCTTCCATCCTCAATTTCACCAAGCAGATCAGTCAGGCGGAATGAGCCAGTCACAAGGGTGGCAGCACCGATCTGAACAGTCGCACGNTTATAGTAGGTAGTTAGGGTGATAGTATTATAGTGGCAATATTATAGTAGTCATTGATTTAGTCTCTTTACCCTTTTACTCTACTAATGTTACTAGTGTCACTACCCTTCCTTTTTACTAACTACTCATCACAGACTGACGTAATTGGCGTTGATGGCAGCAAGCAGTGCCAATGCATCCAGTTTCACCGTGTTCTCCAGTGACAGTGTTCTGCTTCCATCCTCAATTTCACCAAGCAGATCAGTCAGGCGGAATGAGCCAGTCACAAGGGTGGCAGCACCGATCTGAACAGTCGCACGGAAGAGGAGCGGCTCCACCTCCCTGATCGAGACAGTCGCATTCTCAGTTCCAAGGCGGCCACTCTCAGCCACCACCGCATTCTTCAGCGAAACAACCCTGTTGCTTCTTCTGCTGCATTTCGACACAAACGAGGCGTAGTAGCCCTCGAGGCGACTGGCCGTTCCACTCATCAGCTCCCCCCTTTGGTAGACCATTTCAGCCGTCTCGTCGTTCAGCTCGAGATCCCTGTTTTCTGGCTTGAGAATCGCCCTCGCAATCATCTCAAGCATTTCGGCGTATTCGCAAGATCGACTTGTTACGCCCTGGGACTCGAGAAACTCCAAATCAGAAACCAGGGACTTCTTGATGGCCTTGAGGCTGCTCAGGACAGTCCCGTCGTAGCAGTCGAAGTCGCTCGAGTAGCAGCCGTCGTCAAGTTGCCTGCCTTCGCCCCGGACATGGAGCATCCCAAGCACGTCTCGCTTGCTGCTGTGCTTGAACAGAATCACAAACTTCCGCTTTGCCTCGTTTATGATCGATTGGAGCCCATTCGAGTAGCTGCTCTCCCGCTCGCAGTAGAAGCAGTCCAAGTCGAGCTCAACTGGGCCACGTATCCCAAACATTTCCATCTGCTCGATGATCCGCCTTGTTCCGCCTCGGAAGCCATCCCTGTTCTTCTTCCAGAGCAGAATCAGCCCATTCACTGCCTCGTGGCCAAGTGTCACCCTCATTCCACTCGAATACTCCAATTTCTGAAGAAGTCTTTCATTGATCTCATTTCGATCAGAGTAGAGGAGACTGGCTGATTTGGGTGATTGGGTCTGATCAGCAAACTGCCTGAGTTGGCTGAATTCAGCCCTGTTGATGAGTGAGGTGCTCTCTGTCTCTGACTGGTGGCTGCCTCGGAAGATGCGTCTCAGGGCATCGTCCTCCAATTCGCCCATTTTGGNTCCGCCTCGGAAGCCATCCCTGTTCTTCTTCCAGAGCAGAATCAGCCCATTCACTGCCTCGTGGCCAAGTGTCACCCTCATTCCACTCGAATACTCCAATTTCTGAAGAAGTCTTTCATTGATCTCATTTCGATCAGAGTAGAGGAGACTGGCTGATTTGGGTGATTGGGTCTGATCAGCAAACTGCCTGAGTTGGCTGAATTCAGCCCTGTTGATGAGTGAGGTGCTCTCTGTCTCTGACTGGTGGCTGCCTCGGAAGATGCGTCTCAGGGCATCGTCCTCCAATTCGCCCATTTTGGCTAATTCGCCCATTTTGGTTGATAAAATGGCTGGTTTGATAAACAGGGCGTATTTGTCAGGAAAGAGGTTGCAGTAGATTGGGAGTTCAACTGTTTCAAGGAGTTTCAGGAATCCAATCAGGTGGGCTACGACCGTGGTGATTCTCGTTTCCAACTCGTTCAGGACGCGGTCTTCGGCCAGTGCCACGTCAAGCAGGGCGTCCTGGTCGTAGATGTTCAGGTCGTAGATCTCCTGGTAGATTTGGACTGGGCTCAGGGACGGAAGTGGCTGGCTGTGGTAGAGGCGGGAGATCTCTGCTGCGTTTCGTTCTCTTTGATTCGCAGGAGCACCTTGCTGAAATGGTAGTCTCCTACGATCGTGTCGTTGTAGACGTGCTCAAGTGGAATGGCCTCGTTCTGCAGAATCAGGTCGCTTACCATCGCATGGTCGACCATGAAGTTGTACAGCACCTGCTTGAATGGGCCGAAGTCGCTCTTTGGCCTTGGCCTGCTTCTTCTGAGTCCCCTCATTTCAGCCTGGTTCTCAAGAAGCAGTCTCACGCTTCTGTACGTCTCATCAATCTGCTCCTTCATGGCGTAGTTCCTCCTAAACTGATCAATGATGTCTGTTCCAATGTATTCTGGCTTGTCTTGTGGCATCAGAAAGATGAACTTCTTCAGTGAAATCAGTTTGATCTTCTCGTTGTAGAGGATGTTCTTGAATGCGTCTGTGAATGAAAGTGTCTTCACGAATGAATCGAGGGCATGGACTTGTTCTGGTGTAGGATGACTGTTTTGTAGGTCAACAGCAAGGTTGTTATTGATGTTGTTATCAACTTCCTCTAGTAGTTGTTCTTCTACTAATAATTGGTCTTTTTCTACCACTTCTTCCTTTTCTACTAGTAATTGCTCTTCTTCCTCTAGTAATTGCTCTTCCTTTTCTTCTACTAATTCCTCTACCACATCCCCTTCTATTTCTTCACTTGAATTTGAATCATTTTCCAGCTGATCGTAGAGGTGCTCTTCAAAGACCCCTACGTTCTCATCATCAACGAGATCGATCTCCTCCTTCGTGAATGACTTCTTCAGATGCTGAATTCCTTGGCCGTGTCCGATCCTCTGCAGCTTCCTGGCCACTGCGTGCAGGCAGTAGACCACCTTCTGCATGTTCTTGCTCTCCCTCAGGTCGTTCGTCTCAAACAGGTAGCACTCCTTGACGCGGATCTTCCGGCAGAACTCAAGGAACGTCGAGATGTTGATCACCTCGTAGTAGGCGGCCTTCTCCAGGCCGTGGACGGTCTTGTTGAATCCACAGAGACTGGCGATCTTGGCCAGGTGGAATCCCCTGGGCAGCTCGCTGAAAAATGTCGCAATGTCTGGGCAGGGAACAAACGAGTTCACCCATTCCTGCGCAGAGGCGCACTTGCTCAGAAACCTGTACGTCTGCGACATGGCCATCTTGTGGTCCATCTCCTCGCCACTGACTGGCCTGAACGCATTTGGCTCGATCATCGCATCCTCGGCCAGCTCGGTGTCGCCTATTTTGATCTGGTTGTTCTTCACCTCGATGTTTCCGAATGTGAAGGAGTTGTTGGCCAACTTCGACCTGAGTTGGTCAACCTTGTTTTCAGGCGAATAAACTGTCTCAGGTTCCTGGGACTCAGCCACTGTCTCAGGGCCGTGGGACTCGTTTCGTGCGGTCTCGTCTGTCACTAACTTGCTGGTGAGCTCAATCATGGCCTCTCTCGTCTTCTGCTCTCTGGTTGGCTCGTCTTCAACTGTGCTCATTAAGGGGTAATGAACTGATTTTTTATTTGTAAATGCATAAATCAATAAGCTAATTTATGCTTAACTCATTTTGCTGACTTCTTCACCACTTTGATAAATGATGGTGTCAAACCTATCAAATTGACCGTATAGGCAGTTTCTTTAACCCCTGTTATTGCAACTAGGCGTAATATGAGATATTATCATTCTTCATTTTCTACTTCTTTTGTAGTTGAATAGGACAGTTAGAACTGTCTTGGTCTCTGCTCCACTGTGGGCGTCCTTCATTGCCAATTCGTGCTTGCTGTAGCCTGGAACCAGGTTGTAGAGTGGAAACTCGCAGAATGTCAGTATCTCATTTGCTGCAATTCTGTTATGCTCATAAATGGTCAGTCCAAGTCTGTCGATCTCCTTCACGACCTCCACGTCAACGGACTCGTTGAATTCCGGGCTCCTTGTCCCCCTCTTCACCGCTGTTTTGAATACGCTCTCTTTGTTGACGTAGACGACCACGAACGGGTTTGCGGTGGCCGAAGAAGGCGGCTCCACCCCTGTTGCGTTGATGACGTGGATTTCAAGGACGCCTCTGAGCATGTCCTTCACGAATGGGACGTCGCAGCCCACTGTGACCAGGTCGGCGTGCGCCAGCAGCTCCGACGAGCCGCTGCTCCTCCTGAAGTTGCCCAAGTCGACCTCCTCGTTCTCCATTTCGGTCTTTCCAATTTCGACTGTTTTCAGGTGCTTCACCCTCAGATTCGTCCCCCCTTCCATTTTGAACAGAAATCGCCTGAAAATTTCACTGGCATAAACGAGGCTTCTTCCGTCGTAAAAGTGGAGCGACTCGATCAGGTTGTCGAAGGAGTTGAATCGAATTTGGACGAATTTGGTGCTGTGCTTCTTGTTGTGGTTTCTGACGAGGGCCGTCTTCGAAATGGCGAATTCAACGCGTGTTCTGTCGAATACGCAGACGAAGCAGCTGCCGCTGATGTCGACGAACTCCTCTCCGATGAGCGAGTCGCCGTTGACGGTGATTTTGAAGAGGCGGACGAGGACGACTCGCTCGTTGCTGATTGGAAGAAGGGAGCTGACTCTGCTGCCGATGACTGTGGTGAACTGCTGCGTCTTCTGAACCATCGAGTTGGTTTCGAAGACGAAGTAGAAGGAGCCACGGCTGCTGAACGAGACCGAGGTGACTTGTACGGCGTATTTGAAGTCGATCAGCCTCTTCGACTGCTTCTTCAGGTTGTAGATTCCGAGATCGAGGCCAACTGGTTCAGGCAGCTTCAAAGGGTGGAATTCAGTTGGATCAGGTGGCGGAGGAGCCCCAGGCTCCTCCACCCTTGTTTGGTGCCTGCTTATTTCTGTCTCAGTCGACATGTTCATCCCATTCACGCCCTTCCTCGACGCCCTGCTCTCGTCAACTTCGCTGTTGATCGCCTCTGATTCATCTTCACTTTTTAGTGACACGTTTCTACTGTCGTGGATATCGATGTATTCCATTCCAAATTCAAAGAGAATTTCCCCATTTTCAACTCCTCTGAGTCTGAATCGGCTGCTGGTGCCAGTGGAGCAGTCGTGGATGTCAGAGAGGGGGACGTAGAGGTCTCCGATCTGCGAATCGTCCTTGTCGTCGACCACCTTCACCGCCAGGTCGTAGAGGTCGAAGTCCCTCACAAAGTGCTCGAACTTCTCGTTGAACTGCGGGCTGCGAGACGCGAAGATGCGCTTCGTCTCGAACTCCGCTATCGTCCTCTTCGTGCTCTGCTGCACCACCCTCACGATGACGTACGTGTTGTAGAGCAGCTTCTTCGACATTCCTCGTTTATGCAAATTGTCTACGCCTACGACTTTTATGCTCAAAATGGCACTTTCCTTCTTTGACTCAGTGGCCTGGTAGAAAAGAGTCGTGGCTCCAAGCAGGGACTGGCCGTGACCATTGCACATGTTGATGTTCTCGGAGTAGCTGTGCTTGTTCAGGTTTCGAAGGTGAATCACCCCAAATTGGTCAGCCTCCTGGTGGTGTCGTAGCGAAATGGTCGTGTTCGTGTCCTTTACCAGTGCATAAAACACCTCGTTGAATTTTGGGTTTCTTCCTTCGTGTTTCTCTGTCTCGCCAAAGACGGTGCCATCGATCGACAGCGTCACCGATTTGATGCCATCGTCCGCCGAAAGCAGGCTCTCCAGTCTCACGCAGATCACGCCAATCCTCTTTCCGGCGTATTTGTCGACCTTGCTCAAATCGACCTCGAGGAAGTGGGGCGCAACGAGAATGGCACTCAGCTGCCTGTTTGCGGTCGACTTGAGCGTGCTGCTCAGCAGAGGCAGGTCCATGAAGTCGCATATTTTCAGCGGAATGAAGACGAAGTCGATTACGGGCAGCTCGGTGAACTGGAACCTGAGTTTGTCGACGAAGGGCGCCTTCTTCAGGAGCGAGAGCTCGACGTGCATCGTGGCCGAGAACGTGAAGTTTCTGACCAGAATCGGCAGCGAAATCAGGTTGTTGAGGGCCACGCTGAGCTGGATGCACGTGTTCCAGTGGCTTCGTGGCTCCGTGAAGACCGCCTCGTCCTGGAGCGGAACGAAGGCAACGGACGCCTCCAGCACCACCACGTCCTCCCTCTCGTCCACGAACTTCACTCGCTCGACCACAGGTGGCTCCGTTCCAAGTGTAATTTCACTTAGCTTTATGCTCTTCAGAAACTTCGGGCAATTCGCCTTGAGCACCTTGTTCACGGCCGAGTGGATCTCGGAGCTCACGGCCGCCTCCACGTTCAGCCAGGCGCGCCTGACGACGTAGTTCATCCACTCGACGCTCTCGTGCTCGCCCATGCTCTTCAGGCGCTCGGCCTGGCCCATGATCGTGTCGACGCTCAGCTGGTACTGGCTGACTCGCCTCCTGTAGAACGCGTAGATGCAGTGGCCTATCAGCACCAGGTAGAACGGCCTTGCCCCCAGCTTCCCAACCAGATACCCTCCTATGGTGCTACAGAATATTATTCCAGGCACTTTCAGCATTCTCAGAATTGGATTCGTAGGAGACAGGTCCAATGGGTTTGTGATTGTCCTGAGAGACGGAATTCCCTTGAATCGCTTCGGCTTCCTCTCGGCCACGCCGTCTGGCACGTCCTGTGGCCGTATCTTCATCCTGTTCTCGCCGGTGTCGTCTACGAACGAGTCCTTGGTCTCCCTTTCTTCCTTCATTTGGGGCAAACAACACCAAAATAAATCAAGTGATTCTTCATTGGATCTCTCTTTCCCTCCTTGATTATGACGTCATAATGCATAATATTCCATTTCTGGAAGCACTTTCAGCCAATGGATTCTTTTTGAATAAAAAGCCAGTTTGAATTGAGCCCATGCATTTCGTTAGTCTCTTCGAGGTCGTAGCAGCCACGGAGCATTGCGTAGCACTGGTGTCAGAGTGCGACATGGTGGTTGTTCCAGTTGGATGCAAGCAGATGATGATCTACGTCGATGGGCCAGATCGAATGATGGTACAGGAGAAGTGTGCTGAAACAGGAAAATGGGGTGAGTTCATGCCAATTGGAAGTCTGGGAAGTGGAGGAGCAGTGGAAGCACCACAACCAGATTTGAGCAGCCAGTGGAGCGAGGTGAGGGCTGAGCAGGGCAGAATGGCCCAAGAACCAGTGCAACCTGAGACGACTGTTGGGGCAGCTGAATGTGGCGCAAATGCAGGGGTAGTTAGTGCCGTAGCAGGAGAAGGGGCTGAAGCAGGAGAAACAGGTCAAAATGGAAATGGAGCTGAAACCAGTAAAAATGGAAGCACTGCGGGTGGATCAACCACATCAACTACGTCAAAAAGCAGCACAAAGAGTTCAAGCAAATCAAAGTCAAATGGAACTGTTACAACACTTGGACTATCAACAGTGGCAGCAATTGTGCTTTTCACGCTATTGGAATAAATCAAGTATTGATCACACTTTGGAGGGCATCCACGTCATCGACAATCAGCCCATCAACCACCTTAAAATACTCAAATGCCCTTTCGGATACGTTCGTATCATTTCCATAGAGAAAGACACTCTCAAAATGAGTCAATTTCTCCTTCAACTGATCAAATAACTTGCAATCAAATACAATTTTGTTGTATTTTAGGGCGTAATTATTGAAATCAGTCAGTGAATCAAAGATGAAGTAGGCTGTGGCCCCAGAACTGATCAATAAGTCGACCAAATTGTGATCAAATGAGCTGAAGATGCAGTTTCTGGTGTAGTTTGACGCAACTGAAAGCACCTTCTCAACAAATCGCCTGTTTTCATCCATTGAAAATGACTCATTTTCCTTTAGTTCAATATTGAACTGAATGAACTGAATGAGCTGATTTGTCTGATCAAAGACGTCTTGAAGAGTGAGAAGAGCACTGCTGAATGCGACTTGGTCGTGGGAGACGACTAGTGCGTCCTCTTTTGGATAAAAATGAATGTCAAATTCAACGGCATCAACCTGATATTTGATCACCGAGTTGAAGGAGGAGACCGTGTTCTCCTTCAGCTGCTTCTTGAAGCCGTGATACTCGTCTGATCCAGCTCCTCGATGGCCAATCAGCACCTTTCTCCTTCCTGAAACCACTGTGTTTTTCATCATTGAAATGGGCTAATTTAGTCAGTTTGTTAGGAGCAAATTTATTCATAGGGAAATTGATTTCTGGTAGAAACCTGGGCACTTTTCACTTCTCCCATTTTCACCCCAATATGCTCAGCAAACATTTGAGAATTTCAAACAAGAAGGAATCCACACGAGTCAAGGCAGTTGATTTCCACCCTACGGCACCAACACTCGTAGCAGGGAACCACTGTGGGACACTCTACATCCACAACTACCTCTATGGCACGGAACAGGGACTCAACGAGCACGCTGGCTCAATTAGGGCAGTGAAGATGCATCCAAGTGGAAGCATCTTTGCGACTGCTGGAGACGACAAGGAGATCAGAATCTGGGACTACAACAAGAAGGCAGTCACCGTACGGCTCAAGGGACACGTCGACTACGTCAGGGCCCTCGATTTTCACCCAACTCAGCCTTGGATTCTGTCTGGGTCGGATGACTGCACAATCAAAGTCTGGAACTTCTACACGGGCGAGCTGCTTTGCTCCTCAGTCGGCCACCACCACTACGTGATGGCTGCTGCCTTCCTCGACTCAACTCACATCATAACTGGCTCATTGGATCACACACTTGGGCTATGGAACTGCGAGAAGCTCTTTGAGCAGAAGAAGAGCGTATTGACGCCCACTTTGATTCAGTATCAATCAGTAGAGGCGCATGACAGGGGAGTGAACTGCATTTACGTCAGTGAGAACTCGATATTCTCAGGATCAGACGACAGGGAGATCAAGGAGTGGAAATACAGGAACGAGGTGTTGGAGTATCACAGGTCGATTTATTCACACGAATCGAATGTGACTGGGCTATTGAAATACGACGAGGTGCTCTATTCAACAGGAGAAGACTGTAAGTTGTGTATAAACTCAAAGGAGAATTACAGTATCACAGGAACAGGCAGATTCTGGTGTGTGGCAGCCAAAGACGACTATTTGGCAGCTGGCTGCGATACAGGGCTTGTTGTCTACACAAACAGGCCCAAAATGGTAGCAGGGGTGTTTAACGGCGTAAGCTATTATTGCATGAATAACAAACTATTTAAGGTTGTTAAGGGAGAGGCTGAATTTGTTTTGAGGGGTCTGAGACTCGTAGACAACTTCAGCATCTCCGGAGAGAGGGCGCTGTTGCAGTACGACGGCTGTTACGACGTGTTTGACATGGCTACGGGGAACAAGGTCTCTGCTGAGACAGGATATGCATATTTTGTACAGGATGAGCTGTATAAGATACGCGAGTGTGTCCTGTTCAGGGGAGACGAGAAAGTGAGAGTCTTCGACGAGGAAGTCGTCTTCCTCGCATCCAAGGACGACGTCTACGTCTGTGTGTCCAAAGACGGAAAGAAGCTCTACACGAACAAATTCGACAATTTTGTTTGTCTGCTATTTAAGGTTAACAAGGTTGTATTTATGCAGAATACGCTTGTTTGCGTTGGAGAGAGAGCCATCCGCGCCATCGACCTTGGAAGCCTCGAGACGCGCTTCGCCCTCTCCACGGACGTCGAGATCGTGGACGCATCCTCGCTCTGCTTCGGATCTGAGCTGGTTTTCGTCTACGCGACCACTAAGCTCATTTCGTACTTTTACGAGGGTGCTGGCCACCTCTGCTCTGCCTCGGCCTACGCGAAGATCCTCTCAACTGGCCCCGACTTCCTGTGGCTCGTCGACCTCAACAACGCGGTCTCCCGAATTGAGCTCGTCACAGGCGAAATCAAGTTCCGCCGCGCTGTTCGAGAGCAACAAGGCGTCCTTGAAACAATTCAGTCTGAACAGCTTCCGGGTCTCTCACCCCTCGAGTACCTGATCAGCCGAAACCAGGGTGCTGTTGCCATTCCATTCATCAAGGAGCCAACGCGTCGCTTTGATCTCTTTCTCTCTGAGTCTCGTTACGACGAGTGTCTCTCTCTGATCAACTCACATGGCCTCAGTCACAAGAAGAGTGTCCTTGCTGATAGAATTGTCTCTGAAAATGACTCAGATGCCTATCACATTGCTGAAGAGTGTCTCTCTGGCGATGAAAGTGGCCTGTTCCACTTTCTTGTCTTCTCTGGCCAGTTCAATAAGCTCCGTTCCAAGAGGAATCTCTTTGAGGAAGACGTCTATTTGGAGCTGATTGAAATTGTAACCAGAAATGCAGAAGATAGGCCACTAAAAAGGAAGGAAAAGAAGACCGAAACTGAAAAACAGCCTAAAATGATTGAACCTGAAAAACAGCCTAAAATGATTGAAACTGAAAAACAGCCTAAAATGATCGAAACTGAAAAACAGCCTAAGGCAGATAGCGACTCATCCAAATTGACCAAATCACCTGATAAAAATGCACTCAAATCCAAACTGTCTCAAATCACCCTTGATCAACACAATGCATTCAGTTCCAGTGAGTCTCAAAGCCACAAATCCAAATATTCCGATAAATCGCGCATCTCTGAGCCAGCCACGTCAGTGATGGCCACCGTCAATGACTCTGATCCATCCCAACCAATTTATTCCAAAAGAGCCCTTGAATCAAAGCAGCCTGAAATTGCTCAGTTTGTGATGCAGCTGCAGGAGACCCTGAGCCCATCAAATTCAACCACTGCCCACACCACGGAATCAGTGGCAGCCGATGACGTGGATCTGGTCGCCTCTGCCTACGCCCTGGCCATGCAACTGACCACAGATGGCCGTCTCTCTGAAGCAGCCGCCTGTTTCCGATCTACGCTCCACCTGGTTGCCCACCAAATTGATCTCGGCGGTGACTCACCTGATTTCACTGAT